GGAGAGCGATGAACCAAAAGAGCTGATAGAATAATAAACCTGGTTTTATTTAGCTAGACAGTAGCTTCTTAAGAGATAGCATCTCCCCAGGTTGCCTCGGGGCGAGGGGTTTCACATCAGGGTTAGCACCTCTAAGGGACCTGGGGATATTTTTAATAAGGTCTGTGAAAGGCAGCTGAGAAGAGCCCAACCACGGCTTCTTGCCTTGAAATTGCTGCCCAGCACCTTGTATTTTTGGTAGAAAACCAGCTGAAAACCATAAACACCCCATCCGCCTTCTGCAGCTCGAGGAGTTTTCCTTTCTCCCCCTCTTTGGCTCTTCTGTAAATAAAAATGTACTTTATTGATTTTATTTCAGTAACGGAGAAATAATTTGCCTTTGGCCCGAGCTCACAGGATGCTAAACTCTAGCCAGGAGTGTGGTTTTGTTTTTTTTTTTCCTCCTTTTATAGCGTTTCTGATCTGTGTTTATGATGCCAGCGCTGACACATCCTAAACTACAGCGTGGCTATAACCCCCGGAAAAAACTCCCAGCGGGATTGAAATAGTGGCTGCCAAATGTTCCCTCCTCACTGGAGCTTGTGAATCAAAAAACATCAACGGTTTAAGCAAAGGCTTGTGCTGGGGAAGGAGAACTTATGCCGGAGTCGATGCATATTTTATCACCGTGCTTATTCACTCGCAGCCCTTCTCCCTTTGAACGCTGCGCGGGTTTTAATTAAATAGTCATTGGCGAGGCTGTTATTCTAGCTTGGAAGGCCTCCAAATGGCCGTGTTTTTTCCCCAAAATGATCACAAGGGGATGTACTCCCATCCCCCCCGCCCCGTCCTCGCCAAGGTTTGTCTTCTGCAAATACCGCTAATTACGTTTGTCTGGCCGGACACCGGCTCTGTGATAGCATCTTTCATTAGCACTGATCTTTCCGTGCTCGCAAGGAGCTGGCTGACGTTCCCAGAGCAGTGCCTTGTGAACGCCGCCAAGAAACGTCCTTTTGGCACCGGGCAAACCGGTCTGGCTCCTGCAAACGTTGGGGTCACGTTGAGCCGTGGTTCATTAGCGTCTGCTTGTAAACGAGGTTCTGCAGCTTGGGTGCAGGTCCCTGTCTACACGACTGGGTTGTTCCTGGTTGGAAACCAGAGCAGAGAAAGGCTGAGGTTGGTGCCTCCGGGATCTGTTCTACCAAGGGGTTGCTGGTGGCCGTGCGCGGGTGGTCAGCTTGGATTAGGTGCAAGAGGGGTGATGAAATGAGTGGGAGCGGACAGGACATCTCTCCTTGGCTTTAAACATCTCATGGAGGCTCTCCTGATGGCAACACAACCCGTAGCGGCGTAGATGTTGCTGTAGGCAACTCTCCAGAGGGTCTAGGAGAAACCACGGCCAGGGGCTGACAGGTGCCACCTCCCTCCCCAGCACCTAGAGATGCCGCCATGGGTCTTTCCCTTCCCCTGCCTTTAAATTCCCACCTGGCTTCTCAACCACCGACACGAGTTTGCTCCCGCTTGTCAGGAACAAGATACTTAATTTGTCAGTTCGCTACGCTTAATATTTCTTTCATGTATAGTGTCGGTTTTAAATGCAAAACATGTCTGGATAAGCTCACTTTTTTGCTTTTTGGGGTTTTTTTTCCACCCTGCTGTAGCTGACACATTGAAGGTAGTCGTGTTTAACTAATAAAAAAGATTTTAAAATGCTGGTTTTGCACTTCTTTAATTGACTTCTAATTTCCATTCGCATGCAGCCTGGCACATTCCAAAGGAAAAAAGAGCGCTGAGCAAATAAGAAATGCGTCACTCCCTGTTTTTTTATCATAATCAAAAATGTAAAAATTAAGAATCTGAATCAATGTACATTAAACTATGTAATTGCCTAAATAAACGTGGCGGGGGTAGATAATGGATCTTCCTGATTAGAAGAAAATACCAAATTTAGTGCAAAGGTTGTATTTGGTTGCAAAGCAGCATGGTTTAGCGGTTGCAGCCTTCTTTTGGGAGGTAGACCAAGGCAGGGGGGCTCAGAGGGCAGCCGTGGGTCCAGGCGCCAGTGATGAAGGAGCTTTCTGCTGGAGAGCATCCTTGGTGGTACCCTTGAGGGAATTACAGGGATGGAAGAATTGCTAGTGGATGGTGGAAATTGGTTTTCCCAGCTCTCACGAGCCCAGTGGTGGTTGTGTTTTCTCTTCCAGCAGCCAGTCCTGGTGGTCGCCAACCCAGTGAGGGTCCCGGCTTGCAGTGACCGGTCCTGCAGCAAGGGAAGAGGCTCCCAAGAGCAGGACCCTCCAGGTAAACCCCCAGCCTCGATGGGTTTATTGCGGCCGCTAAGTATTTATCATTTCCTGAACTTGCTCAGGGTGGTTTGTAGCTCCATGGTGCACGCTGCGGAGTTTTATTAGGATGCACTGCCTGCTTCCCAACCCTTTTTCCTTGTAAATAGTGGCAGCTTTGCTGACCCGATCAGCAAAAATAAATAATATCCCAATGCCGCAAGATGCACTGAAACTGCTTGATGGTCTTACGGTTATCCCAAGATCTGCAACCCCGTGGTTTGAAGCTGCTGCCCATCAGCTTCTGCTGATGGGGAGGTGGGTGTCCAGCACCGGTGGAAATCAATGACCAGGATCTGGCGGTGGTGGCAGGAGTTGGCCGGTGATGCCGCTGTTGCCACCGCACCTACCAGCCCTCCAAGGGCTCCTCCCCTGTGCTGGTATTTGGGAGGAAAAAAAAAATCATCCAGGTCCGAGTATCGGTTTGCATTTGTCCTTTCCCTTTTGCTTTCCCTTAACTGCAGCAAAAAGTTATTTCACCGTCAACCACAGGATTGCTGCATGCTTTTTGCTCCAAACCTGGTTGTCCTTCCTGCAGAGCAAGCAGTGTTCCAGCATGGGATGTCCCCCACGCTTTTAATCTCCAAAATGCCTTCTCAGGCGAATCATGTTAATATTGGAGAGTGCAGGAGCCGGGGGAGAGCTTCCCACCCGCGGTCGTTGTTATTCATCGCTCACTGTCACTCTGGGGAATGAGGAAAAGCTGCTGGGTTTTGAGGTTGCAGCCTGGCAGCAAGGAGTTAAAGGGAAGGTGAAATATTAAGCAGGAGCAAAGAGGAACTGTGAGAAGGGCAGGATCCCAGGAAAGCTTTTCTGGGCATGACCCAGCCAGTGTGTCCTCTGCTCCCCAGCACCCAGCCTACTGTGGCAGGGGTGCTGAAGGGCATGAAGCCAGGATGCTGATGGGGACAAGAGGCTTTTGCAGGTCGCAAAGGGGCTGGGCTGCTCCTCTGAAACAGCCAGTACCTGGGTTTTGCTTGGGGAGTAGTAGAGATGTGTTGCAACATGCGTGAGCCCATCTCGTTGAGCTTGCTGCTCTGAGCACCGACTAGGGAGGTAGCTAAACAGCAGAGAGTTAAACAATAATGATCATAATAAGGAGCTTTTTTGATTCATAAGGTTCACCAGCCCAAGCATCCCAGAAAAGAGAGATGCTGGGATGCAGTAGACTGCAGTGCAGGCACATCGTTGCGGGGGGGTCCTCCTGGCGTGGGAAGAGGTGGCCCCGAGGGTGGTGAAAGAGGCTGGACCATGGCAGCCTTTAGCACGAGGAGAGGATACATCACCACCCTCAGCAGAAGCAACGTGCTACAGCTAACGAGCAAACCTCAGAGGTAGGGTTAATGAATGCAGCCTCCCAAGGTCTCCTAACATGGATGGATGCCACTGACCTTCATAGGAAGTCCTTGAAGACAGAACACGAGGCCTCCAGGCAGTGACCGAGAGAAGTAATAAATACTTTTGGGAGCACTTTGAGAGAACATTAACTTAAGCTCTCCTAAACCACCATGAGCAGCAAGGTGTAAATGGTGATACCATGGGCTGCTCCAGCACCATCTCCTATCTCCAAGCACTTCAAGCTCATCCCTGACTTCATGCTCATGACCTGCTGCCCACCAAGGAGGCAGGTACAGGAGGGTTTTGTCCACCTGGGAGCTGTTTTTGTCCATCTAGGGCAGACAGGTGATGGATGACGAGCCATTTCTTTAATGGCTACAGGGGAAGAAAATGCAATTACCCAAAGTAGGCTTTTGGCAGGACACGGAGGCAGCGGAGTGAGGTTGATGAAACCTGGGGAAAAGGGGATGAAAGACCAGCCGCTCACATCCAGGGCCCTGTTTTGCTTTTGGTTGCCTCCTCAGAGACATTGTTTGTGTAGTAATTAGCGATGTAAAACATGCACCGGCCTCTTTGTTCCCATTAGGCTTGGCTACGGCTTGAAATGATGCGCAACAGTAGCCCGTGGTTAATTTTACCAAATGTTCACTTTAATTTCATTTAAGACCAGCTGTCTGTAAATCTATAGTACCTATTCACATTGCGTGCATATAAATATCTATATATTATTTTGTGCTGAGGATAAGGTAACAGCTAACAAGGCACTGGTAGGAGGAATACACCCTCTGTCCTCCAGCCTCCAACCCTAGGGTGATGTGTACGGTCAAGCCTGAAGGCTCAATGTTGGCCTGATGCTGATGGGGCTGACCTTTTGGTGATACGTCCTTAAGGATCAAACCTCCCTGATGTGTTCCTCCACCCTAAAATTCCCTGTGTGTTGCATGTCCAGGTCAATATTAAACGCCCGATGTGTAAAGCAGCTACTTATCGGGTAGCGCACAGCTGGGAGCCTGCAGTGAGCTGTGGTTTATTTGCATCCGAGCAAGCATGCCTATGTTTAAATACCTCTAAGCAAACAAGTCCACCCAGCTCCTGTTTTGCTCTTCCTTGTGTCTTCAAGGCTGGGTTTACTGGCAGTATCCAAGGGCAGTTTGTCTCCTTCCTTATTTACGGGGACTGGGAGGATGCCTGCTTAATGGTAGGTGTGGGTAACATTGCCCTGGTAGCGTTGGTCCCATGCTACGTGGTCCAGTGTGGGCTGGTGGCTTCTTCTACCAGCTCTCACCATCATGTGATATCTGAGCCACCACCACTGTTGCACGAGACCCCAGCATGGATCCCTCAAACCTGTGTTTGTGCCATCCCTCCCTCTGGCAGCACCAGGACTGCTGGGAGGAGGTTGCCGCAGGGCGATGGGAAGGGCTGCAGCTCCTTGGTCCCAAAGCGTGGTGAGATGTGGTCAGCCAAGAAGCGTATGTGGAAGTGCCGGCCGACACAGTGGACCAGGCTGCCCACCACGGCGCACTGGAAGCCGGACAGGTTGGGCATGCCGTAGGTGGCACACTTGTACCATAGCTTGGCCTTGGCTCCACAGCGGTAGACGCCAATGCCTGTGCTGCGGTGGAGGTCGAAGCGGTAGATGAAGCCATTAGCACTCACCATCTCAGCTGTCCTGTCCTTGCTGCCGACAACTGGGCTGACGCTCCAGCTGTCCAAGCGGGCACTGTAACGCAGCAGAACGTAGCGCAAGGTGCCCCCCGTGACGTAGATCTCCCCATCGCACACCGTGGCTGTGTGGGCCACGGCGAAGGTGTCGTGGGGCAGGGGTGCGGTGAAGGTCCAGCGGTCCTGCCGGGGGTCGTAGCGCTCCACCGTGTAGAGGCATTCACCGCCGATGGCGTAGAGGTGGCCGTCCAAGGCCACGAGCTTGCAGCGGGGCCGTGCTTGGTTCAGGGGGCAGATCTCCTTCCAGATGTTGGTCAGGGGGTCATAGCAGAAGACACGGTTGGAGGGTCTCTGCGTCTGGCCCATGCCCTCGCAGCCCCCCACCACGAAGAGGTAGTTGAACATGCTGCACATGGCGCAACCTCGGGAGACCACCTCCGGTGGCACATGGCAGAGATGATGCCAGCAGTCCCCTCCGTCATCATAGTAGCAGAGGCGGCTGGTGTGGAGGCCGGGCTCCTGCACGTTGATGTCTGCCACAGCCATGTACATCTTCCCCTTCATCCTCCGCCGCAGGATGAGCTCCCGCTCGGTGGCGTTGAGGCGGCCATAGATGGAGGGTGTCCTCAGCACCTGCAGGTAGTTGTCACTCATCACCTTGTAGGCAGCTTCCCGGAGGTGGCTGAGCTTCTGTGTCTTGGCTGTGCAGAGGACCTCGTAGCAGTTCCCCAGGTCCAGGTGGGTGGGTGGTGGCATTTGGAAGAGGTCAGCACTGGCCACCAGCCTTGGCCGGGGGCTTGCAGGCGGTGTGCTGGCTGGCTCTGTGACCCCAAAACCCTCCATGGGCAGCTGAAGGTGGGGACTGTCAGCAATCTGGAGGATGCTGTCCTTGCGGCCAGGAGATGGTGGCTCAAGGGAGATCTCCAAGGTCCCCATAGGTGGTGGAACTATGGAGGAGGTGGTGGGATCCTGCGTTGATGAAGCTGGGTCTGGCTCCTGGGTTGCAAAGCTCTGCAGCTCTTCCTTGACCCGCTCTGAGCTGCGGCGCTGGGATGTTCCGGGAGGGATGTGGGGGAGAGAACTCTTCTTTGACATCGACTGGGAGATGGACTGCACATGGTAGTCGTAGACTTTGCGTTTGAGGCCGGGGACAGGCTGCCCATCCCTGTCCTTCACCCACTGCTTGGAGATGTAGTTCTCCTCCACCTGGATCTTCGCAATGGAGGAGAAAGAGTAGGAGGCATCCAACCCCACGTTGCTCCCTGTCATCGTTAGCCCCAGGACTGAGGTGACACTGAGGGTCTGGATCGTCCCCCCATGCCTCTCGGTCTCCTGGCTCGTGCCTCCACCAGCCAAATCCTGCTCCATGCTTTGGGCGTGTCCCTCACCTGCCACCTGGGCATTAGCAATCCTGGGGGAAAGCCCGGTGCTTGGGGCAAATGTGCCCTCCTCCCTGTGGCTGCTCGGTGTTTCAGCTGCATCCCCAGGGTCATAAGAGCTCGGCTCGCTTCCTAGCTCACTTCCTGGCTCGCTTTCCGGCTTTCTTCCCGGCTCACTTTCCGGCTCAATTCCTGGCTTGCTTCCCGACTTACTTCCCAGCTTACTTCCCAGCTTGCTTCCCGGCTCACTTCCCAACTCACTTCCCCTCCTGGCCATCCCCGCTCTCCTGCAAGTCAGCCCCGGTTCTGAAACTCTCTCCTCTCCTTCCTCCTCCTCCTCCTCACCCCTTGGCAGACTTCGATCCCCCCGGGGAGGCGTGTGCTGTGTCCCAGGTACGCTTGCTTGATCGCTCGCTTGTGCGGTCCTTGCTTCCTCACCCAAGAGCCTCCTCCGTCGCAGCCCCGCTGCACCTTCCCCATCCCCATCCCAGGCAGCGTTTTCCCTCTGCTCTCTTCCCACATCGGCCGGTGGGGTTTTGCCCTCGGCAAGCGAGCGGGACTTATAAAACCTGTACGCCAAAGTCAGGAGGAGCAGCGCGGTGGCGGAGAGGACCAGCTTGCCGGCCAGCTGCATGTCGGGCTGCCAGGGCAGGGTTACCTGCTGGGACATTTTTCCCCGTCGGGAATGCAGAGAAGCCGATTAATGATTGCCAAGCGAGCCCGGAGCGTGGAGCTGAAGGTTTGGAGCAAGGTGACTCTGAGCGGGCAAAGCTGGCAGGAGGTTTCCGGATGAGCTTTGCATGTTTGGGATGGGCTGGGCTCTGGGGAAAAGGTGCAGCCCAGAGCTGGCAGCACAGAGCTGGCTTTATTAGCCTGGTAAACAGAGAGGCTCAGAGAAAAGCAAAAGGAAGTACAAAGGGAGGAAAAGAATCTGCTCCGAGCAGCCCAATGGTGCTGCCTCCCCGTTTCTTTTGCTGTTTAAAAGGGATCATGCAATGGAAGGGGAAAATAAGTTGTTTTGTCTGGGAAAGGTCCCTCATCCCCGGGTGCAGCCATGGGGAAGGGAGGGAGAAGCAGCCCGGTGCCGGGCAGACCTTTGGTCCGATGCCGAGCAGCTGCTCTGGCAGAGGCCAGTGACTAATTTGGTGGCCTTCATTTGCAGCACGCTGGCTAATGAAGGGTGATGATAAAGAGCCTGAAAGCTGCTGGGGTCTCTTTGAGGCCAGCCTGGAAATGGCAGGGAATTAAGAGCCGGCAGCAGAGGTACTGGGGGCTTTGGGAGGGGGAAAAAAATCCGGCACCGAAGAGAAAATAAGGTCAGGAGTGAAACTCCAGCTGGTAGAGCATTCAGAGACCTGCATCCATGTGCAGGGGGAGAGGGCTGAACTAAGGAAAGTGAACAAAAGCATTGGGACCGGGAAGAAATTTGGGATGGGAAGAGATGGGAGAGATGGGAGTTGTTGTTTTGAAGTGATGTGCTGCTGCGTGTGGGATGTCCACGGGGACTGGAGTCGCTGTGGGGAAACTGAGGCACGGAGGATGCCAGACAGTATCACACTTGCTTCTTTCTCCCCCTGGAAAGATGACGGTGATGTGTCTGGTTCTGATCTGAATTTCAAAGATTTAGGGGAATTGTTGTCCCCATCATCCCCAAAGCAGCCGGGTCCCCACGCCTGGACCGCAGCGGCAGGGAGAGGCGGGTGCCTGGGGAATGGCATCCTTCCGCAACCCGCCGCTAAGTGAGCTGAATTCAAAGGGATAAAATTAATTTCATTTCCCCTGAGGGGAACATCTCGCATGCTGAGAGATGCATAAAGAAACGAGGCCCTACAAGGCGGCAAAGAAACAGCCAAAATGTGGGCGGGGGTGGGTGGCTGCTCCTGTTTGTATGCAGGGACTCGCTCCCTGCTAGCTTGGTCCCGATCCGGTGGGATTTGCCGGAGAAATGAGCCCAGGGGATGCTAAAACAAGTCCTTGTATGAGGTGTGGGTGCGATGGGTCCTGACTGCATGGCTCAGTGTGGTGGGCTTGGGTCTTCAATGGGTGGTGGGTGCTCATGAGCTCATGCCAGCGTCCGCAGCCTCCCAAACCACCTTCCCTGCAACAGCCGATCTTCACCAGCCATTGCACGAGCTCGGGCACTGCCTTTTGCCATGGGGAGGAGCATCTGAGCTTCCCTGGGGCACATTCCCCACCATCACCAGCATCTGTGAGCGCTGGGATGCCCTCCCTGCCGCTGCTGAGATGCTGCTTTTCACTGAACGGCGTCACACGGGGACCGCAGGGGTGCCGAAGGGGATGGGGCGTCACACGGGGATCGCAGGGGTGCCGAAGGGGATGGGGTGGTTGTATATCTGCCTCTAGACCTGCCATGGATGCTCGTTAGGTGGAGGACCACGTGCTAACTTGTGTTATACATATATATATAAAGAGGATGGAAAAGAAGCAGAGGGGTAAACTCCCTGTGCTGACTTGGCAGTCAAGGACTTCTGCACATCGCTGCTGTGAACGGGGAGAGCCCACCAGCAGCTTTTAGGGAGATGTTTGGGAAGTTGTCACCTTGTACGGGTGCGGCGTGGGGAAATACAGCAGTAAAGAGGCTGCAGGGAAATGAGGTTATTTACATCATGAGCTGGACTGATGCACCCTGCTCAGCTGCATCTCCAGCTTGGGCCAGGGGCCCAAGCACCATCAGCCAAAACCCACCCAGGCACTCCCCTCCATCCTATTTGGCATGGGCACCCAAAAATCCATTGCTGGAGGGCTTGGTCCGGCAAAAACCTCTGGGAAGGCATATCGCTCCTGCTTGCAAACCCAGAGCATCCTGAAGCTGAGGCTGGAGTTGGGGCAACGGGGACATGCACAGAGGCTGGGCACATGTTTCTGGGCTCGGCTAATTGGCAAAGCATCTGACCACCCATGATGCATGGCCGCAACCCTGGGTTTCTTCATCTCTCTCTGCTGCGGTTTTTAATCTGCAGGTAGATCTGCAAAGACCTTTGCGTTCATAAGCTGGGAAGTATGAATTATGCATGCCCTTGGTGGCCCTGTGAACCCAGCCACGGCAGTAACGGTGCCCGGTAATGAGGTGGGGGAGGCAGGGGAGGCTCCAAGCAAAGCCCACCACCGCTCCCACTGGCATCCCCAGCCCCATCGAGCAGGAGCATCCCTGGTTTTGTGCCCTCCACCCTGATATCCCAAAGGGCTGGGGGCTTGGATGAGCCGCATCCTTGAGAGATGCAGGGCTAGGCTGCCAAAACCCTGACGCTGTGTGCGTGCCAGGATGACCGCGGGTCTCCTCCTCATCGGTGGGTTTTTATGGACCTTGGCCTGCTGAAACATGGAGCACAGAGGGAAGCAAGGGCATTTTCGGCAGGTAGTGTGCTCTGGGTGCTGTTGCCTTCACAAATGGCAGGATGGGGGGGGACCAGAGCCTGAGGCCAAGCTCGAGCTGCGGGGGATGAAGTCGGGAAGGAGGATCCCCATGGCAAAAATGCAGGTCCGCCGTATAAAGATATATTTATCTGTGCCTTGCGGTAAGGAGGACGAGTGGCAGTGTAAGGGAGCAAGGGATGCAGCCGTGGCGTCTCCGAGCAGCGGTGACGTCTCGGCACTTGTGACTTTAATTGAATGTAATTGCCTCTTCCAAATTTTGCTAAAACCTTTTCAAAGTCCCCTGAAATTAGGGAACATCGATAACGCCTCTCCTTGGGGTTTTCAGCTCGCATCATCCCTAAGAAGCGCGATTAATTTTTTACAAGCTAATCATATCTCTTAGGCAGGTTGTCAGCCGCAGATCTGTCATCTCTCATCAATAATGAAACAACCTGAGCAGCTCTTTCCCCCTCCAGCCTCCTGTATTATTCACTGCCAGGGCCTCAAACAACGCAGTGCGTGGTAGTGGGGGAGCCAGGGATTTAATTGATGGCCTTTGTAATTACCTGTAGGTAGGTGGCTGGGGATGGGGAGGCAGGGCTGGTAGGTGGAGGGTGAAGGATGAGAGGGCAGGAGGTGAAGGCAGGGTCCAGCACGGCGTGGGAAGTTTTCTTTGGCTCACTGTTTTGGTGGGGTGGGAGCTCTCCGTGTCCCTCGTCTTGGGGGCACTTTGGGCAAGCAGGCAGCATCTCTGCCCAAAATGAGGAAAGACTCCCGTGTCCCCTCGGTCATCGCTTCGGCTGTGCTGGTGCTGAGAAGGGCCCATCCTGTAGCCTGAGCCATCACCATGGGAAAGAGCTAAGCATCCCGAATGCACACAGAGGGGTGGATTTGGGATGGGGGACCTCCGAGCCCACCAGTCCTCTCCCAGCTGGTGGATGAGGAGGTCAAAAAAAAACGCTCTTGAGATGACACCAAGCAGAGCTTGTTGACGGTGGCACTGCCTCACTAACGCTCCTCATTTCCATGGTTCCAGGCTAAAAATCACCACATTTACATTTAAATGGAGTTTTGGGCGTCTGTAAATCCCCATTTTTCGAAGTGAAAAAGCCTAATGGTTGTTTAATCACATTGGGATGAGGTCCCTGGAGCATCTCCAATCCAGCAAGAAGCATCCACGCAGTGGTGGGGGGCTCTCCTGCCTACTCAGTAGCATGGGGGGGGGTAAACTGAGTCACATGGATTTCCCTAGTTCCCCTAAAAAAAAAGGTTCTCCTAAAAAAATGAAGCTTCCCGTCTCGCCCAGGGAGGTGTAATGGCCTGGAGCACTGGAAGTGGGCTGGGGAGAGAGAGCGGGGCAGGTTCAGGCAGCTGGTCCGAACGGATCCGGATGCTCAGATGCTGCTGCTTTGGGATGAAAAGCGGAGCCGCTGATCCGCCTACATCCCAGCCAGCCCAAGTTTGTCCCTGCATTGCTGCCAGCCCAAATTATTGCGTATGGGAAGAAACGCTTGAGCCACCACGTGTTTGTTCGGCTCCTTTGAGGCTGGCAAATCGCTCGCAGCGAGGTTGGCAATGGAGCATGGTAGGGACTGAATCTGCTTAATAATAATTAATCATAATAGTAATAATAATGCTTAGTATTCGTACAGGGCTTTGGAAAGATGAAGCGCTGCATGGCTGCTGGCTAATCCTCTAGGATTAAGAGTTCCCGGAGGAAAAGGCAGGGGAGTGCCCTGTCCTCGAGCTCCTCTCCCCTCCCAGCATCCACTCCCTGGGGATCCTGGCCCGGGGCTGGATGCTCCCAGGGCACTGTGGGGAGGGAAAGCAGCTGGGCAAACTGCCAGCATCCTCCAGCACTGGGCAGAATTGGGAAAAAAAAACAAAACCAAAACAAACCCACCTGGTTTTTGCAAAAAAGCCATCCGGCAGCAGGATTAATGCTGTAGCGGGATGTGGCCGGCGGCACGGGGTACCGTAGGACTGGCCAGGATCTGGCCGTGCTGCACTGTTATCTGTTTCCATGGCGACAGTGAGCCAAGAGGGATGGGGAGGGTGGCACGGCCCAAACGTGGGCGCAGCGCTTTGAATTCGGCTGGTGCCGCCGCTGCCCAATGGGACACGCGCTGCCCGCTCATGTGTGAGCGCTGACATTTTGGGTCGGGAGCCACCTGTCACTAGAGATTGACTGTCCAGCCCGGGACGAGCGCTGTGCGTGGCTCCCGTCTTCCAGCAAAGCCGATTTGCCCCGGCCAAGGTGCCGGGGTATAAGGCCAGTGATCCGCGGCTTTTGGGCTCCCAGCACCCCGTCGGCATGGAGGACTCGTCCCCAATGTCCCTCATGTTGGGGACACGTGCAGGCCCTACCCCGGGGAGCTGAGACCTGGAGCAGCTCGGTGCAGTGGGAACGCTGTAAATGGATTTTTCCAGGGGGGGAATCTGGCTCTTGCATAATAGACACACCCCCCCCAAGACCTTGCAAAAACCTCTGGGTACCCCAAAATGGTTCTGGGTACCCCCAGCACAAGGCAAAACATTAAGCACAGCCTTCTACTGGGGGAGATTTTTCTTTTTCCTTTTAATTAAATTGTCTGAGGAAGCCAAGACACAGACAGAAAGAGACCGAGACTGTAAATAGTATAGAAAAAAAAAAAAAAAAGAGAGAGCGAGAGACCCGATTGACAGAGGTGTAAATGCCAGGTGGAGCCGTATGGAGGAAGAGGAGGAGGAAGAGGCAGGCGAAGCTTCACGTTAGCTCCAGGATCACTGTTAGGGTGAGCGCCAAAACTAGTCTGAAGCCGCAGTGGCCGGTAAGTGAACCTAGGCGGGAGGAGAAAAGGGAGGGGGAGTTTAGGGAGCCGCAACTCGCTGCTTGGGTTCAAAGCAGGATGGGGTCAACACTTTTTTTTTGGGGGGATCCCCCTCCTAAACTTGCTATGGAGCTTGCGTGGGGCAGGCAGGGAGGTCAGGGACGATGCGGGGAGCATCCATGGAGCCCCTTTTGGTGCAAGGACATCCCTGCTGCCGAGGGCAAGGGCTTGGGGCCGTGCAAGGAGATATTGGGCGAGAGCTTGGGGCGAGGCAAGGAGGGATGTGCTCTGCATGGTCCTTCCCTCTCCGGGGGGGGTCAGGTTGAAATACCAGTCCCGCCACCACTCACCATTGGAGTCCTCTGTTCCTCTGGGAATATTTGGGTTTTCTGATGGGAAAGAAATAGCAGAGAGACAGTTTTACTGGGGGGAGGAGATGAGTGAGGATTTGCGGAGGGAGGGGTGACCCCTGCGGTGCTGCCATACCGAAAACGATGAGCCGGGTGTGGGGGTCGGTGGAGACCAGGGGGTTCTGGGCGGTGCAGCGGTACATGGAACCGTTGAGTTCGGCCGGCACCCGCTCCAGCACCAGCTCCTTGCCGTCGTGTTCGGCGCTGCCATCGAGGAGCCGGCTCCCCACCCGGGTCCAGGTGAAGAGGGGCTCGGGGAAGACGTCATTCTGTGGGGAGATGGGGGGCTATGAGATGGGTGAGCCCTGCCTCGCGCCTGGAGCAAGGATGGGGCACAGCTGAAACGTGCAGAGGTGCACCAATGTAAGGACCATGATGCAGCCCCCGGCCACCAAGCCAACCCCATAAAGTGCTGGTGTGGATGCAAGGTTGTCCATTGGCACGGAATCACCCCATGGCAATGGGGTGGATGGGGATGCTGACCTGGAAGCCCTGCACCAAGATCCGCACAGTGTCTCCGACGCGGGCTCTTGTCGGGGTCATCGTGATCTTCGGGCCCTTGGGAGCAACTGCAAGGGAAGGGGACAAGAAGGGACATCAGCCGAGCAAGGGGTTCCCGGTGCCGGTGGGTGCCCTTGGCCGGGGTTAATAATGGTTTGATGGACAATTGTGGCGAAGGGGCAGCACGGCGTGTGCCAGCCAGGGCGGGGCTGATGGCTGGGTGACTGATGGACAGGCTGATGGACGTCCAAATGATCGATAGGCAGGTAGGCAAGGACCCTGCAGGCACCTGAACAGGAAGACTGCGAGATTGATAGACGACTGTAATGGGATGTGTTGATGGTGAAGGACATATTTCTTAACCAAGCCCCTCTCTGCTCAGAAACAGGGGTCAGGAGGGGTCAGGCTGGTTAGAAGCCGTGGAGATGGGCACCTCAGAAAGGCAGCCCCAGGACAAGGTGGCCTCGGTGAGTCACGCACGAGTGCTGTTAGCGTGGGAGACAGCCACAAAGCCTTGCTGGTGCAAAATGCCAAGGACAGCCCCCTAAAGAGGTGGGGACCCCTTTTCCCACACCAGACTTGGGGGGGCCCTTGCCTGGTGTGTTGGTGGCGGGGAGAAGCAGTGCTGCAGCCAGCCATGGCGGGGTGACACCACACTGGGGTCTGCTCTTTCCTCCCAGCTGGGACGGGGTTGCATGGCTGTCCCTCCTGTGCCATGGGTGGGCTGGGACAGCCCCAGGAGCTGCCTGGGCTTTGCATGGAAGGAACCTTTTGCAGGCTTGAAGGGGAAAACGGGCAGGAGAAGGTTATGCTTTGCCAAAAGTGGGTGTCTCATCCTTTGTATATTCAAGCACTGCCGTGGATGGGACAGGCTGAGCCTTGACATCACCCCGGCATGACACAAAGGGACAAACAGCCATCAGAAAGCACGTTGGTCTGCAGTGGTGGACGCTGGCCCTCGGAAAGGGCATCTGCGCCCCAGGATGCTCTGCACGGATGTGTGCCGGAAACCATGGTTGTGCACGGCAATATCCATGCAAGATCCCTCCCTCCGGTGTTGGAGCAGGGTGATGGGCTTTCTGTATCGAAGCAAGTGGTTTGTCTTGGTTTCAACGAGGCTTTTATTGGGAGTGTATATATAGTGCATATATGCTATTTCTATATAGGGAGGGGCTTAATGGGGGATCTGCTGTGATGGTGCCAAAAACATGGGTGTGGATGGTGGTGGCGGGGGGTCCAGTGAGGTGCATAGGCTGGAGGCATCTTA